GCCTGCAAAAATCACTTCATGTCAATGGAGAGGTAAGTGCACGGTTGTGTCAGTGCAGATGTGAGATCCACCTGCAGGAAGAGTGTGAGGCAGTGATGTGAGAAGGGACTGCCAGTGGGTTTGGGGAGGAGCAGGGGCCGTGGTGGCCTCGGGGTCGGGTCTGTGGCCACTGGCACCATGTGAGCTCCTGCCATGCTGCTCTGGCCACAGCCTCCAAGGGGAATTATTTTCCTCTCCACGGGGTACCCARCAGTGTGCTGGACAAGAGATACTTTGGCTGCAGTCAAAATCAACATAAGGAGCAGTAAAGTTAAAGATCACAGCTGAAATGGTGATTCCTGAGACGGAAGATTCATGCTCAGGATCCCTACATGGAGTCAGCCTGGAAAGTCAGGTGGAACGGTCACAGATGTAAGGAAGTGGAGCTGGTGGTTGCTTGGCTGAAGAGATCCTCAGTAGTTGCCTTTATGTGTAAACAAATCAATGTCCAAACCAGTAACGTGCCTCCCTGKTGCTTTGAAGCAGCCAGTTTGATGGGGGTGAGAATTCCGCTGAGCACTCAGTAATTGCAGACACATTATCTGTGTGCCCAGGAAGGCAAAAGCATGAGTTGACACTTTTAAAAAAATTAACTCATGGAGGAAAAAGGGGAAGTTGATGGAAATGACCATAAATTATAAATGAGGCTTTTCAAAAATTACAAAGGGAGAAAAAGGACATTGGCATCCAGCAGCGTCTGGAATAACAGCCAGGAGTTCAGCTCTGCAGCGAACCACAGGGATCTCGACAGTGTTTGCTGTGTGGGTAGTGGAGGCAGAAAAGGGAAGGCATTTGCTGAAAATACTTCTCCCCTCTATTTAAAAAACGCAGAGGATGTTGTTATATCATAGAGGAAGGAATAGATTGGTTCCGTTCCAGCAGAAATTTGGAAGGTTGTTAGGCAGCGATTATGAAATCCAGAATGATGTTGTTCAGGTCATCAGGTCCAGCAGTTCACAGGTGGGTGCTCCGAGTGCCCAGGCCCCTCTGTGCCCGGTGTCTGCTGATCCTGCGTGGGTGGGGAAGGTGGAGGAAGGTTCCAGAAGGAAACGCTCTGGCCCCTCTGTGCCTGGTGTCTGCTGACCCTGCCTGGGTGGGGAAGGTGGAGGAAGGTTCCAGGAGGATGTGAGCACAGAGCCAGGCAGGGCAGTGCCAGGGGTCCCATTGGGGATCAGGAGCCAC